TAACTTAACCTTGGTGACAGTCCAGTAAAGATTACTTTACAAAAGCAAAAAAGGAGATAGTAATGTAGTCATATTTTAATTACAGCCTCAAAATATATATGAGACATAATAATTATTGTCAACATGTGTTTCCCCCATGAAGACAATAGAAGGAAACTATATCTGGAAGGATAATGATGTTGTAGGCAAATTTGTCCAGTTTTCGTACAATTTTAATTTCACTCATTTATTTAGTTTGCATCCTAGTATTAGATCTCAGAGCGGTTCAAAATTATACCTGAGGAAGTGGACTTGTCCACAGACACTCACATTAAAATATGAGAGCTAGTCTTTAAAGTGCTACCATGCTTTTCTCTTTTTTCTTTCTTTCTTTTTTTTATTTTGTTTTTACCTATAAGGCTTGCACAGACTAACATAGCTATCTCTTCTACAACTCAAAATAATTGGAAAACAAAAAAGCAGCCTGACCAATAGTTGACATTAAGTGGCATAAAGCTACAACAGCAGAGAAAATAAAATAAAGAACATTTGCTGTTACTTAAGTGTGGTCTGTAGTTCTGTCCTATCAACAGCTTAAAAACATCAGTAATAGCACAACATGACAGAACAAATGTCATGATCAAAGCTCACAGTAGATACCCAGTGTGGTGTAGTGGACAGAATGATGGACTAGGATTCTGGAGACCTGGGTTCAAATCTCTGCTCAGCCATGGAAACTCACTGAGGGAGTGGAACTGGTATAACCACTCCTTAAATGTCTCGCCTACCTTGAAAGCCCTATTAGGGTCACTATAAGTGGGTTCCAACTTGACAGCATGTAACAACAACAGCTCACAGTAAATAATGGAATATTCGCCCACAGAATAAGAGATATACTAAGTCCTGTTTGCAGCTGACAGAAATGGAATTTGAACATAATAGATTGGCAAAAGAATTAAAAACCCAAATATAGTGTGGCACATTTGACACTAATAGATCTCTTTCTTTCTGAACTTTCATGGACAACAGTCTACTTTTCAGGACACACAAATGCTTATGGAAACTCATATTAAATAGATATCTTAGTCTCTAAGATCTTGCTGAAACAGACCTACAAAGCCATTTCTTGTAAACTAATGTCCCATGTGAATGCAAGAAATAACCATTTGATATCAGTGTAAAATCAATTGTACATTTCGAACCTTGATGTATTACTCTGTCAATTCTTGGTGTTTAAAAATACTGCAATCTTAGGGTTTGGCAAATTCTGGCAAATTAATGAAGTCTAGGTACTGAGGCATCACACTATGCAGAAATGAATGCTCACGTGTCCATGCAGATACCACATGTGATGAGGCCCGGTATGGTCCTGCCAGAGTCGTAACTTCCAGAAAATACTGTGTGCCAGGAACAAGGCCCTCAAAAGTGAAATTCTGCATGTCTGGTCCAATTGTGATGTTCCTCTGCAGTGCAGGGTGCTCCTGGCTATAGAATCGTAGAAAGAACTGGTCTCTGTCTCCTAAAGGTAGGTTCCAAGAGGCAACAAGACTGGAGGACCATCTACTACTGACTAGTGTCAATCCTGAGGGAACCAAGGGGTCTGAAAGAAAACAGGTTTTTCAGTTACTAATCAGGGTCCTGGAAGGAGGGAAGAGGAGATGGAAACAGTCATTGGAGAAGTCTTCTAAATATATACTGTACAGCAGTGTTTCTCAAGCTTTCTTATCTTGTATCCAAAAAACCATTCTGTCAATGAATGTGTGCCCCACCATGACAGACACAAGGGAGCACTTTTTCCAAAAAGGACACTTGTATATTTAGAGTCATTCTGCTATTATTTTTATCATTTACAATTTGTTTAGGATGAGGAGAAACACAGAGCATCCCAAATTACTACTAGCATGCCAGAAGGATACAGAAGGATAATTCATGGCAAATAGAGTTGGTAAAAGATGGCATATTACACAGTACTCACAAGAACACGTGAGGGGTGAGAGAATTCTTAGCAACTGTTACAGAAATCACACATAGACTATTTCTGCATTCCACATGTGATACATGTACTTCAAGAAAAAGAGGTTGATGTTGGGGTATTAGGGAGTGCAGGTAATTAGGGGTGTGCATTTTTCTGGACAAATATGTATAAATGAATCAAATCAGAGTATTTATGCATTTCTGGGGTTACCACAGGGTAAAGCAAAGAGCCCAGAGGCTTTATCAGGGTGAAGTAGCACACTCGTGGGTCTCTTGTGTTAAATCCAACATGCATGTAACATGGTTAAAAGTACAGAAAGAGGAAGAAAACATAAAAGAGACAATGGAGAATATGTTCATTATCTCAGAAAAGAGCTTTTCTCATCTTTCCTGTCACAAAGTTATTCATTAAACTGTTAAAACCTTATGGACAGAGGACCAGTGATTTCAGATTCAAAGAACAGGCGTGAGGAGACAGAAAAAAGGAAAAGAAGTATAGACATACACGATCCCTGCATTGCACCTTTTTCCTTGTTTTTCCGAAAATAAGACCTAACCTGAAAATAAGCCCTCATATGATTTTTCAGGATGCTTGTAATATAAGCCCTACCCCCAAATAAGCCCCAGTTGAGTGAAACCCCACCCTCCATCATTCTGCAGCAATCAGATGATGACAAGACTGCATTTGAATAAATGTAGTGTGTTGTGCATGAAAAAAATAAACCATCTCCTGAAAATAAGCCCTAATGCTTTTTTTTGGAGCAAAAATTACTATTTATTTATATATTAAATTTATACCCCGCCTATCTAGACACAATATAAGACCCTGTCTTATTTTCGGGGAAACACGATAAGATTGAATCAACTATGACTATGATGGTTGCCCCTTTTAAAGTCTCTCTTCCCTCCCTTCCTAATGGATAACTTAGGAAGCTGATGGGGACTTTCTCCTGGTGGCTTGAAAAAAGGGGAAAAATAAAACTAAAACAAAGTACCAAGCTCTGCTAACTGCCATTGGTGTCCGTTTATTCTGCCTGCAACATTTGGTCTATGGCAGTGATTCCCAGCCTTGGGTAACCCAGGTGTTCTTGGACTGCAATTCCCAGAAGCTTTCACCACCAGCTGTGTCAGCTAGGGTTTCTGGGAGCTGCAAACCAAGAACACCTGGGTTGCCCAAGGTTGGGAACTACTGGTCTATGATCTGGCCTTGCCATTGGCATTTCACCATTCACAGGAATGAGGTCTTCATGGAGAACCAACAATCCACAAACACCATCATGAACCCACACAAGGATCAAGTGAGAGTATCACCAAAAGAGCACATGACAGTTCAGATATGATATGTGCACCCTGTTTTGTTTTTTGGACACAGGGTAGGTCAGGAGTAGCTCATCTCTATTATTTACCATGTATCAGTACAGTATTGACTGAACTTTTGTACAAGACCTAGTAAACTGGAGACCAAAAGAGCAGGAGATCTGGATTTCCCTGAACAGCCTTCATAACGATGCACAACAATGAGGCTTCTCCTGAAAATGGCATACTCACATGTCCAGCCACTAACTGTCTGAACAAGAGATTGGTATGGTCCAGCCACCCCTACCACCTTCAGTGTGTACTGACGTCCAGGGATCAGCCCTTCAAAGCTGACATTGGTCCTTTGTTTGTCCTCTGACACCGTCACATTCTTGACCCCCAACTGGGATTTGGTTTCTAAGAGAATGCCTACATAATGGCCTCTGCTTCCAGAGGTCTTTTCCCAGGAAGCACGCAAGGATCTTGTGCTGTGGCCATCATTGTTGAGGCTCAGATGCTCTGGAGGCAAGGGATCTGGAAAGAGAAGACCGGGGTCACCTTCAGGAATGTTTTGGTATGATGGTATTTCAATGTTTTTATGGTTCAATTTGTTTTTAACTTGTTTTTATTGTTTCACAGAGATTGTAAGCAGCCTTGAGCACTACCCTGTAGTTAAAAAGTAGAGTACTGTATAACTGTGAATCAACAACAGCAGTAATGACAATGAGAGTCATTAGCTCTAAAGGGGATCACGGCTCTCCAATAGCACACCCAGACAAGCATATATATGTATAGCTATTTGGATTACTTTTGGTGCTGTATCATTTGAATCAAATTCCAGCATCCATACGTGTTTTGACCTAGAGCAATCCATCTCAATCCTTTTTAAAGAGCTGTCCCACTCTTTTTTGGTACAGGACTAGGAATATAGTTTGTTTGTTTGTTTGTTTGTTTGTTTGTTTGTTTGTTTGTTTTGCATGATTTGGATTGCTCCCACAGGTTACTTGTCCTCTGTACATAGAAAGTTTTGGGGTTTTTTTTTAACATGATTTGGACTGCTTTCACAGGTTACTTGTCCTCTGTACATAGAAACACAGACAAGCCATAGACACATAAACACTTCCTTTTCACCGCCTTTTGTGCTGCCTGTTTCATCCTCCTAGTCCTTGGATATTATTGATACAATTCTCTTCTTTCTCATCCACCCATTTCTCATACTTTCTTTTGGATGACTCCAAGATATTGTCCCTACTTATTATTATGTTGCTTAGTAATTTCTGAGTAGTACTTGTTAAGTATTACTAGAAAGGAAGACCTTCTATTGACCAAAAGAGAACTGATTTCTCACTTACCTAGCATTTCAGTAACAGTAAAATTGGCTCAAGAGCCAATGTGATACAATTGACAGAGTGTCAGACTAGGACCAAGGACAGATATGTTCAGTAATCTACTCAGCCACAGAAAGTCACTGGGGTGCTTGTGGCAAAGTTAGACTTGAACATCTTGCACACTTGGGAATCCTATTGGGTTGCCTTATGTTGAAAGTGACTTTATAGCACATATCAACAAAATTGGCCCTGAAGAAAGTGTTTCAACAATGGTGGCTCTCTAGTTAGCCTTTAATCATATTGGTACCAAAGAAGTATATTACCTCAGCACACATGTATCTTGCTTATAGTTAAGTCAATAGAGTAAACTATCCCAAGGCAAAGGACCTGATGGTACTCCCCAGAGTAAACTGGTGCCTCAGTGTCCCAAGGCAAAGGACCTGATGGTACTCCCCCATTCCCCATTCTAACCTGCCTGGCAACTGAACTTTACATTAACACTGATGATAATACAGAATTCTTCCCTGCACCCAGGGCTGATGAATGAGACTCAGGGTAGATCGTGACCCACATAACTCTACCTGCTCCTCATCCCTTTGTATCTGTTCCTGAGGCAGTTATATCCCTCTGCCTAACAGCAGTGTTGTTTGCCTCTGTGGCTGCCTTTGAAAAACCCTGCTTTAATCCATGTGCTTAGCATAATCTGTCTGTTTCCCTGTCACTCTCTACCATTACACTGTGTATGACTAGGATGAAAGGCATCCTGAGGAGTGAATCACAAATTAAGGAAAATGCATATCTCCTGATATTAGAACTTCCAGTCACACATTTCCTTCCCAGGACAATAAGACTTGCAATGAAGCCTTGGTTTACCTCTAAACGACCAGTCACAAAACAAATTAAGCAAATTTGCAAAATGCAGATTGGTGCAATCTGAAGATAAGACAATCAAATATCTTTTAACACTTCAGAGACTTTCCCTTCTAGTGACCTGCCAACAATATCATCCAATTTGGGCCTAAGAAGTACATAAACAGGAATTCTTGACCAATATGGCTTGTTTCATCATAGTGCAACAGTGTTAGGATGGGAAATTTTCCTTCATTTGCCTCTAAAGGTCTGGGCCTGGCAGCCCTATATGTGAGAGAATATTATATGAGAGAATATTATTTTTGCCCTGGCACTCACATGTCCAGTTGCTCAGGCGGAGAGGTGCTGAGATATAGGGCCCAGCAATAGTGCAGATCTCCAAAGCATAGTGTGTGCCTGGGCTTAATCCTTCGTAATGGAGGCTGGAATAATTCTTTGCCACTGACTTGTTTTGCACCAGCATGTAGGGCTCCATGGTATACAATGATGCCACATAGCCACTCCCAGACATTTCTTGCCACTGGGCATGAAGCATATGGGCACTTCCTAGGCTTGATAAACTCCCACCTAATGGAGCTATAGGAACTGGAATGGAGAAAGAGAGACACAAAGTAATGAATAAGTCAGTAAGTAAGCAAGACGATGCACACACTTAGAGAACTCAAAGCTGGGGGGGGGAGTTTTACAATGCATTTGTGAGCCAAGTGATTTAAATTTCACATAATTTTGTGCAGGATTTTCTAGGAAGGATCTGGCATATCTGTAAACTTTTCTTTACAGAAGCAGAATAAGAAAACATAACCAAAAAGTTCTTTCTTATAGGACTAGTGGTGATCTTAGACAGTAGATGGGCACAACTAACAGAATGTAATACTCCCCTACTCAGGTCAAGTCTCTACCCTTTGCTGGCAGATTCCTCTCAAACTCTGATAACTGAAACCTCAACCAAGGATAGAGGAGTGTTCTCAGGAAGTCATTTACTGTAGATTCACAGCATCTGACTATGATAAAGGAACCTCTTTACATGACCCTTCATCCCATAAGAGAGCAAATAACAATCTTGGCACTAAAATGTTGCATACACTCCTCTCCTAACTAGCATGCCTTTCCAAACTATTATTTCAATGCCTCCCTCCCCAATCCAGGCAAGACCTGAGCTTTGACGCCATGCTTACACGTCCAAGCAGGGCTGCTTTTTGCAGGCGCCTTATGAGGCCCAGAAACAGCTGTCACCCAAGCTGTGTAGCGTGTCCCAGGGTTCAAGTTATGGAAGGTGACTCGTGTGCTGTTCTCTCCCACTGACACGTTCTTGATGGGTGTGCTGTTATCTCCCTCTTGCAGAGACACCAGATATAATTCTCTTTCTCCAGCTGGTGATTTCCACAATACTTTTAAAGAGTTATTTTTGCCATAGTTGATTAAGCTTACATTGATTGGCCTCAGAGGGTCTGTGGAAAGATAAAAGGAAGGGTCAAAATCCACAGTGAAAGAGTTGCCTGGAAATAAGTATAGACTGCAAGCCTCTGGGGAGTCAGATAGTTGTCAATATAAACGCTTTAGAAATAATCAAACAATGAGTCATGGTGGTTCCTAAAAATCTCAAATGCTCACCTACTTCATGGTTTACTCTCTTTGGACAACTTGTGTTCTAGCAGAGTCCCATAAGATCTGGGATGGGGATTAATGGAAGTCAATGTTATTTCTGAAGCAGGATAAGAAATAACTTATTTGTGGGGACGTGGTGGCTCTGTGGGCTAAACCGCAGAAGCCTGTGCTGCAGGGTCAGAAGACCAGCAGTCATAAGATCAAATCCATGTGATGGAGTGAGCTCCCGTCGCTTGTCCCAGCTCCCGCCAACCTAGCGGTTCAAAAGCATGCAAATGCAAGTAGATCAATAGGGACCACCTCAGTGGGAAGGTAACAGCGTTCTGTGTCTAAGTTGCACTGGCCATGTGACCACGGAAGATTGTCTTCAGACAAAATGCTGGCTCTATGGCTTGGAAACGGGGATGAGCACTGCCTCCTGGAGTCGAACACGACTGAACAAAAATTGTCAAGGGGAACCTTTACCTTTACCTAGGAGTTTAAGGGTAATTGGAGGTTGGCAGGCTACAGGTTCTATAGCTTGTATATTTACAATCTTGCCTTGGGACCGGGAGCATCGCTACTAGAGCACGCATTGTACTAAAAGATGGGGCTCTGAAGCACACAAGCTGCCATCATGCTAGACCATTTCTATCGCATTTATATTGTGCTTTAGATGGGCTTGTCAAGGTTAATGGAACGGGGCTCTGAAGCACACAAGCTTTCTATCACATTTATATTGTGCTTTAGATGGGCTTGTCAAAGTTAATGGAATATGGTGACATCTGAACTATGCCAATCCTGAAAACTGTCTTGAAAATAAAAGGAACTATTACACCTTTAACTCACATTTGACTCTCTGAGACAAACAGATCTGATTTTCAGCATAGCCCTCGGCTCCTTGCTATCAGCACCATCAGCAGCTATCTCACTTTCTCCTGCATTTTGTTTCCTCGTATGTCAAAACTACTAGGCCTCCATACTGTTGTCTGGCTTTTACTGTTCTTTAATCCAAAGTGAAGAGGTGGCTGAGTTACTTATAAGGGACAGAAGGATTTAACAGCTACATAAATAGGCAGAAATCAAAAAAGGTGTAACTATACCCAGAAAATAAGAATCAGTGAAGTAACTGTGGCTATTTTGACCTCACATCAACCATTTACAGCTGAAAATTTAATGAGCTAAACTTCCTTTTCTCTAAGTACTAAAGAAAAATCAGCCTACTGAACTTCTGCCTGTGAGTTAGCCATGCAGCAGAGGCAGGGCTTTCATGGTCAAAGCATCAAGAGGCTGTGATCAGTAAAAGCTATGACATTATTTGACACCTTTCTGAAACTTTCCTGTTCCCTATGAGCTAACTTGCAATCCTTATACAGTAGTGGCTGAAGGAAATGGATTTTGCCAGGTGCTGTTGCAAACTATCTATGTTACAATGCAAAGTGTTTCAGAGCAGTTTGGTCTTGAATGGTCAATTAAGAGTCATAAACCCTACAGAAGACCTGCTCCTCATTTGTTGAGCAGCCTAAATCTTTGAACCTGGGGGTAGGTATGGGGACTGTCATGAAAAGCACCTGAATTTCCAAATTTACCAGTACACCAGTAGTATCAATTAGTCAGGGTGGGAGAGGAAGAAAAGACCATAAAATAGGAAGTCTTTTACTTAGAGCAAGGGTGGGAAAAGTACATCTCATAGACTGCATGAGCATCCCAAGTGGTCATTCATGCTCTCAGTTTTGTCACCAGTTATGACAAAATCCTCCATTTCAGGACTAAAACACGTTTCTCTCAAATTGACCAATTTTAGGCCAGTAAAATGTCCACCAATTCCCAGCTGTGTCTGTTTATTTTAACATATGTGCAACCGGTCATTTCCAGCCATCTCAAGGAGGCCATTTAGTTACAAAGTTTGAAATACAGTGGCTTAGAGTGAGTGCTAACATCAGGTTCACAGGCTCCCTCTCTGTAAAGGTCGATCTATGTTTTTCTTAACCTTCTTTTTTCACTTTTTTTTGCCTCCATCTTAAAAGAGTTTAGAAGAAATGCACACACAGAGAAATTACCTGTTCTTGGGATGGTGGCATAATTCTTAATTCTACAGCATCATACGTATTCCAACGTAGGCTCTGTTTCTATTCAAGTGCCACATGCAGTATCTGCCACCATACTCACGTGTATAGGCAGTGATGTTGCCAGCCTCCACTCGGTAGGGCCCCACTGCAGCACTGACCTCCAGTCGATAAGGGGTACCTGGCTGTAGGTGCTGGAAGGTATAGTTTGACAGGCCATTCTTGATTGACACCGTGGTACTCTCTGCTGGGGTACGGAGGTTGTGGAGAGTGAAATGCAGCCATTCTGCTCCTTCCATGCTAGCCCATGAGGCAATCAAACTGGAACTGGAGCTTTTGCTTTGGAATTTTAGTGCCTTGGGTGCAACAGGAGCTGTTGGGGAAAAAGGAAAGTTCAAGGTAGTCATCACAGGCATTCCCCACCCCCCACCCCCACACAAATATCCTGTCTCCATGGATGAACTTGGCCAACCTAGCCCAAGTGGATTGAATCTAGCAAATCTATATTTTTGTTAAATGCCTGATAGCCTGGGAGTTCAGATACAGTTGTGTGTGCTACATCAACAGCATAAACCAGATATCAGCAGTCGTGGCCCTCTAGATATTTTTAGCCTACAATTCCCATCAAGTTCAATGAGCATAGCTTATTAAAAGTGAATTAAAAGGCCACCCAAAGGCATTGGAGGGCTGCAGTTGCTCACCCCAGCCTTTAAAAGGAGGGGCGGCCGGGTGGATGGAAGATTAATTTCCCTGCCTGGTTGGCTAAAGGCCAGTCATGCCTTTTACAGACAACTGAGTAAGTGGATATTTACAAGCCAATCTCCTTTGTTGTATTAATGCCAATCTTAGGTATTAGTACCTTCTCTCCCTACTCCTAAAGTATGTGAGGACAAGGTCACAACAAAAGGCCACCTGCAGAATTGTTTAACGACTCAAAACACCTGCATCCCAACAGAAGGGAGTTTGTCCAAACCCTCAAGTCAAAAGGCCAGCCTTCAGTTGTTTAATGACTGAAAACGCCTGCATCCCAACAGAAGGGAGTTTCTAGTCTCCAAACCCTCAAGTCAAAAGGCCAGCCTTCCCATACCTGTCCACTCTCGTGCACGGGTGCTTGCTTTGTAAGATCCAGCCAGTGTGGTGATTTGTAAGGCATATTCATTGCCAGATAGAAGCTTCTCAAATCGGAAGGTGGTGACATTTTTGGAGACAGTTACATTCCTGACAAGTGCCTGGGATTTTATGTGATAAAGGACAAGCTGATAACCGTGCTTTCCACCAGGGGCTTCACTCCAAGATGCCAGTAATACTGAAGGGCTCTCATGATTTAACATAACATTCTTCACTGGTGAAGGAACTAAAACAAGATACAGGATAAAAATTAAAAAAAATTAAAAAACAGATGTACAAAATTCTGGACAAAATTAAAAGTGCTGGTTCCAACCTCGTATAAAGCTCTAAACAGTTTGTGTCTAAGCTATGTCAAAGATCCTGTTTCCCTTTATGAGCCTGCTTGGGTGTTAAGATCATCAGGAGAGGCTTTTCTCTCAGTCACACCAGCTTCACAGATGCTTCTGACTCCAACATGGGAGAGGGCCTTCTCTGTTGCTGCTCTCAGACTTTGGAACTCCTTCCCACAGGAGATAAGACTGGCCCCATCCTTGCTGTCCTTCAGCAAGCAGACAAAAACCTTTCTCTTCAGGCAAGCTTTTCCTCAGCGACTGACTGCCTGAGGGAGATTTTTAAATGGATTGTTGAACCTTTGCTTCTTTGAATGTGTTTTCAGTATTGCTTTTGTTTACCTTTTTTTGAATGGTATTTGTTTGATCATTGTTTTAGCTTTAAATAAAAAGTGTAAAAAGAAAAGACTTGTTGTATACAGTGCTAGGTATTTCATCCTCCTTGACTGACACACACACACACACACCCATCACATCCTAATCAGACATCACATACACCCCCGCCCATACAGGTTACTGTGTGTTTAAGGAGTTTGTACGCTGCATGTCACTTAACTGATGTGGTTTGCACATTTATACCAAATAGCACAAAAGTAATCTCCATTAATTCTGTTCTTTTCAGTTTGGACTTAATTATTTAAGGAGAATTTGATTAATTTCTTCATTAGGGCTAATTCATTAGATGAGTTCCCATCTATGAGTCTGAAACAGGCTCACTTATTAGGCCACTTCATGATATCGGAAATTCTAACTGGAAGAAGCCGGACCAAAAAGGGTCACCTGAGCTCTAGCATGCCAATTGACTGAAGATTGCTCCCAGTGGCATGTTCCACCTTTAAATGACCTCAAGTGACCTTGTTTAGTCTGATCCTGCCCACTTCAATTTGGCCATTTAGCTAAGCCCTTAGTCTTACTGAGGCTTCACTTCCAGGAAAGCATGCATAGAATTGCAGCTTTAAAACCCCAGAGTGCCAATTTCAATCCCATACGTGGCAATAAGAAAGCGTCATACTTTCCCAAACACAGGCAATGTGTTAATAGCGAAAGAAGTACTGTACTGCTACTGCACATGAAAACACTTTCACAGGCATGATCTGCAATGTGGTTCAGTCTCCCCTTTGCTGCACCTTCACAATAAAAGCACTGAAGTGATTGCTCACAGTTCATTTTTTTTCTGATTTGTGTATGCAAACATTCGAGATGTACAGATTTTTAAAATAAGCATGGAAAAAGTTTGTCTGCAACAGAACTGTCTGTATAGTTTATCTGTAACAGAACCTTCCATGCTACTTGGCCTAACAGACAACCTTAAGCTGCTCCTGCTGTTAATAGTTCCTGCAGTTCTGTTGTCTATAAAGATCTTATGAGAAAGTTAGGCTGTATATTGCACTATTGTATTAAGAACAGTTTGTTACAGAACAACTCTGAGTCAACAACACCCTGCAATTGTTCTTGTTGGGACACTGACAATTACAAAAACAATTGCATTTGTGCCCATTAGTATGCCTCAGTTTATTTCAACATACAGTGTAAAGACAACTTGCAAAAGCAAAAGGATGTAAAATAATATTTTGCAGTGCAAAATATGATACATGGCAACAGTGGCTTGGAAGATTAAATATATGCTACTTAAATAAGAAATAACCAAACAAGCAGTAAAAATAAACAAGGATTTTAAGTCATGATCCAGCTTAAGCAAACTAGAAGTGAGTGTCATTCTAATTAATGAAACCATTTTCAAACATTTTTAAAAAAGGAACAAGTTGCATACAGAAAGCACACTGTTTTTGGCTATCAGCTTCATATGCTTCTGGAATGAAAAGCCAAAGCTGAGGATGGATAATAGAACAATTTTCACCCTCACCCGCACACATGAAAAGCATCTGGAAGTTGTGAACTACAGCGTATAATGTTGCATAAAAAAATGAGCCAAGCATGCAGTACATTTTATTGGCCCCATTGGACTGTGCCAGAAGAGGAAAAAATGGTCAGATGATGTTACATCGGTGCTAAACACTGGAGGCTAAACCACAAAACATCATGTTATATTTAGCTTAACATAGCTTGAACAACTGAATCTAGAATAGTTACTATAAAACATCCTTCCATCCCTAAACCAAATTAAAGTTAGGCCACTTTACACACTGCAAGGGGGGAGGGAAAATAGGCCCCTGAACATGTAGCACATTTTTGGAACTTTATACTTTTCAGATTTTAGAAAGGATGTGGACAGTAAAGAATTGCAGATAACAGAGCAGGATTAGGTTACTCAGCTACCATTTCCTTTTACTAGCTACTGGTGGCTTTGGCAATTTAATGGCAGCTTTGCTTTCTACCTCACAAACTCATGAGCATACATTCTAGCTGGCGTATTTTCCCCACAGCTATTTACACACTTAACATGAATCTTGCATTCTTCCTGTCTCACTGAGTTCTCATTTCAATAAGTCAGAAGGAAACTTGAGGATTTCCCAGTTTTAGAAAGGCTACCACTAAATGATCTGAAGGGTTGTCCATCTTCAAAGACTAATGGAATTCAGTGGATTCCTAAATCCAGCTTCAGTTGGTAAGTCAGCTATGGACTTTTCCTGGATAGGGATAGCCTGGCTGCTGTGACCTTTTTCCTTGCAATTTCCACAGTGGATTAATATAAGGCCTTACCTATAGACAGCCCATTAAAATAGTTTGGAAGCTCCAATGAGTATAAAAACCAGGCTAATTTATTTGTGTCAGTAGTTCCCAACCTTGGGTAACCCAGGTATTATTGGATTGCAGCTCCCAGAGGCTTTCATCACTAACCGTGCTGGTTGGGGTTTCCGGGAGTTGCAGTCCAAAAACATCTGGCTTACCCAGAGTTGGGAACCACTGATGTAGGTGAAGCCATTAATACGTAGCTCATGACTGGTACAAGGGAGCACTCCACAGTACATGAGCTGCCTGAGGATGAAGCTGTATTACATTGGCTTTGGAGAAACAAAGCTTCACTGGCTGTTTCCTACTACTGTATGCTCAATTCAAATTTCCATTGCTTACCTTTAAAGCATCAAATGAGTTAGGGTCCTAAAACAGTGTCTCGATACTGTACTCTCCTGTTTGGGCATTAAGATAACTGGAGGAGGCCCTTCTTTAAACACCCCACATAAGAAAGGTACTTTATTATTCTACAAAAAGGAGGCCCTTTGTGGTGGCACCACAACTTTTAAATGTCCTCCCTTAGGAGGTACACTTAGTGTCTTTTTTAATTGTCTTTTTCCAGAGCCAGGTTAAAACATTTTTAAGGAACCAGGCATTTGAAATGCTTTCCCCCCACTTTCCTTGCCAAATACTTTTATAATTCCCATTTTTCATTGCATTATGTACCGTAATTCCATTATTGTGCTGAATATTGAACTTTTAGATACAGTCTTCAGCGAAGGTGCAGTGCATAACAAAGTTAAAATAACATAATAATGAATTAATCCTGCGTGCATGAATGAAAGCAATGCAAGTAAGCGACATGATTTCCCCACATCACCTGTCTGTCCCATGAGTCTCCTGGTGGAGTTCCGTGCACAGGTCCACAGAGCAGTGACTTCAACTTGGTATTGTGTCCCAGGAATTAAATCATGGAAGCTGAAGCTAGTAGCATTGGGGCCAGCAGATCCATTTTGCAGCAGAGTGTTTCCCTCTGGGTTGTAAAGACGTACTGAGAAACCCTGGATGTCTCCCAAGAGTCTTTTCCACGTCAAGAAGAGAGTATTAGAGCGATTGTGGTTGCTGACATTCATATCTGAGAGGTATCCTATGGAAGACAGAAAATAAGGTACTTGCCAGTTGTATCTTCTTCTACTAACAGGTGCCATTTGCTCCTCCTCCCAAAGATCTATTCTCTGCATCCATGGCCCCATGATCTCATCAAGGAGTGGGAAATCTGTGGTCCGCTCCCAAAGATCTATTCTCTGCCTGAGGTACATCCATGGCCCCATGTCTCATCAAGGAGTGGGAAATCTGTGGTCCTCCACATGTTTTAGTCTATAATTCTAACAATCCTTTGTCATCATTTATGCTGCCTAGGCTTTATGGGTCTAGAACATCTCAATGACAAAAGGCTTCCCATCCATCCAGACCAATGGGATGGAGGCCCTTAGAAAATTCCACCAGGACACAACAATCCCCACTTCACCATCAATCTCAGTCTGAACCTCCATTAAGAGGGAGTTTTTACAGAAGGGAGGAACTTTTTGTCTGAGAATTCTATTTACATATACTGTACAGTATCTGGGTTCTAGGCAGAGCTCTCAAGATGAATCATTGTATATTCAAGTTCTTTAATACAGTCACATTTGTTCCAGATCCTTAGAAACTAAGGTTGTGAAGATTTATATCATGTATTATTTCTGAAACAAAAATACCCACCCAACAAAGTATAAGAATAGATTTACAAAGCCCCAGGAATACTTCCTGGAGGATAGATCCAGAAAAAAAAAATGAAAAACAGCACTTCTTGTCACCTGTAGCTTCCAGGTAAAAATAATTCTGTTATGTTACCAACAATAATCTGCAGCAAATGTAGGCAGCCAGTGTCCTTCCAGATGATAGAGTACAGATTACATAATCCTTGATTACTGGCTGCAGTGTCTGGAGCTAACAGTCATCCTTCACCTCTGATCTAATTGACTACAGGCTATCTTAGATGGCAATCTTTCTCACAGGTATTCTGTGATATATGCAGAGACAGCACCTGAATCTATACCCCATCAATAGAAGAAGACATTCCTCAAGTGCTAAAAAGCAAGACAGCTGGAATTTTTATGGCCTCACATGACTCACAGTTAGCTTGCTTTGTGATTGGTCTTTGAGAGGTAAACTGGATTTGTAAGTCTGACTTCCCAGACACAAAAATCTGCCTAATTCACATCTCTGGAAAACTACTACAGTTTTATCTCTAGTTATGGATTTTCTGTAGTGTTCAGTTTGGCCTCACCATTAAGATTGGACCATCAACAGAGGCTCAAATCCATGCACCAAAGTCTGCAACAAATCTAACTACCAGCTCTGTATCCACAGCAACACAAGGCATCAATATTATACTACATAACAACGGCAATCATATAGTTACACTTTATTTTGCAATGATGGAGAATCGAAATTTTCTTCATTTCTTTGTTTGCAATCAGAAGAATTGCTACTTCCTGCTGGAATTCAACACCAGTAGTAGGTCTTCTGAGAGATATATAAAAATGCTGTTTCTCTCTTCCAATCATAGCTAGACAAGTGGGGGATACTGTATAAAATTAAGACGTAGTTTCTTTTTCCCCCCTGTTCTCTTCCTCATTCCTCTTTGATACTGCCTTTTTGTCACATTGTAACCCTGAAAACTTGCACAAAATTGTGCCTTTTTAAAAAGTTGTTTTCATAATGGAATCATCTTGATGTAGACTTTAGAATCAGCCATATTATAACTGATCAGAATTTAAGTGAATATTTATAGCAGCATAAGTGCACTGACATAAATTGAAGTGATAAACAGCCACTAATTAATGAGTCCCTGGTTGAATTTTTAGCCACATGCTGAGTCAAGCAACTTGCACACAAGGGGTGAAGGGGATTTGTTAATTGGTGGTTATTCAGCATACTGAGTTACAATTACACACTTATACGGGATAAATATTCACATGGATTCTGGCTATTATTCACAGTTTTACACTTCTCTGCCCATGCATATGTGCTACCTAAGGATTGCACTTCAAGCATGTGAAGAAGTGTAGTAAATGACAACTTACACTGCAATAAATACTGGTCTTTAAGGTCTGTGAAATGTTGTTCCCCTTTGGTGAAAACAGCTGTGAGCTCTGATACAGACAGTGGTATGGATACCTGGAATATTTCATCCAGGTAAAATAGTGGCTTCATCATTATCAGTTTTATAGCAAATCTCACCCTATCTTTAAGGACTACAGTAAATCATTCTGGAAGCAAAGGCCTTATTTATTGCATTGCTTATGAATTTGAAGTATATCTAATATCCTGTTTTACCTGAAAAACCTGTTTGCGATCTGTGCTACTTTTATCTTAAATATTTACATGTGGTCATTGCTAATTCATGGTGACTTGTGCTGTGCTAATCTATTTGGCAACTCTGTATATTGCAATTATTGGTTGTGCAAACATATATCCATGCTAATGAATATTGACAAAAGTGTCAGGAAAACAGAAGAATTGTGTAGTCCTGACATTTACACAATTTTAGTTCATTTGGTGCCAGAAAGAGTTACTTTTGCTAGTGATTTCTGAGCTGTTCTGTACAATCTTTTCCCTCCACAATAAATGGGCACTTGTTTTCCATTTCTTGCATACATTCCACATATCTACTATATACATCAAAGATAATGGTAAGGAGATCACATGTTCTAAACACAGCATGTGCAATATTTTCTATCCAGATGTGAGGAATAGATGCTTATGCTCTATATTACCTTGTAGCAGTAACATTGTCTGGAAAAAAAATGACTGAGAATGTTCAATCAGTGTTAGCTCAGACAGTTATCCTTTCCAGATGGAACCAAACCTTTGTTTCCAAAAGTGTGCTGAAAATTTCTAACAAAATGTTCTGCTTAATAGACCTGTTGAATTCCTCTCATTCCAGTGGATCTAGAGATGTGGTTAACCACAAATACTGGGTTGTTAATCATTTCCTTTCTTACTTTTCAGTGCATTTGTCCTGTACATTAATTATTACAACAGTGAGCAACTTTCGCACTCAGGGAGACAGACTGACCTCCTCTAAGTAGCTATTTAAGACATACAGCCAACAAATTTGACACCACTTTATATTCTGCCATGCCAGTTGCCACTGATATTTGATGCCCAGTGGAGCTGCCACAAAAAACCAGTAGCCACAACAACAACTTTCTATAGTGCAAGAAGACTGGGTGCACCTTTGCAAGGCTGTCTGCCATATAGAAAGAAAGAAGCACAGGTCAGGCAGCCAGTTCTTAAAAGTAGTATCTGATAGAAAAGCTATCCGGCACATGCACTCAGAAAGAATTGTAGGCAAAGGTGTATAGCACTAGCAGAAAACATTTTCACCTGTGTAAAGTAAGCACCTAGCCTTGATCTTATCCATTGCAGCTCATTCTGCCCCAGAAAATGTGTTCATGAATTTGGGGGTCCTCTGGAGTAGCAGTGGTTTTGGCACCAAGGAACTTGCCCCCTCACCCCTTAAGCTGTTCATTCCATGCAGCTTACATGAAGTTTATAACTGAGAAGGGGAGGAATTTCATCCTCTTCAAGCAAAACCCAAGGTTAGAAGGATAGTGAGAATTCTCCTATCTCTTAATCAGACCTTTAGGTCTCCATTTCATTCTCTCTAGGGAAATAGTTCTGGCTCCGGAAAATTTTCCATTTGTGGTAATTTTCATACCACATTCTCAAAGGATTTATTCCAGTACTGTTTCGAGTTTGCTGTCTCCTCCATCAGGGAACTGCTTCCTTTCCAGGGGTGAAGAGAAAACAACTCACCTTTCTCATCAGACATGCCTTCCACTCTTTGCCAGTCTGTTTGGTTACATCTGTCATCCTGCAAGATTGAAATAAATACGATCTTCAGGGTTTCTTGATGAAGCAAGGCCCAGAAAAAGTCTGCACTCTTATTTTGCAATATGAACAAAGAAAAGCAGCAGCTCTCCCATGGCCCTGTCTTTGCTGATGCCTAAAGACGGATGTTGCCAACTCCTGACTGGCCACAGAAAACCTTTTAATAGTTCCATGGTACTCAAAACACAACCACACAACAGATTTCTTTAGCAAGGCTGGCTTAGTACTGTGATGTTAAACCAGAAGTGTGGGGGAAACTTCTCAAGGAAAAGAGACCATATACAAAAGGTACTCCATGAGACTCACTGACCTGGCTAGTTCCTGGTTTATGATGTGAACTGACATGGATTGCTTTGCATACTTCATACAGATAAGCTACAGCCAGGGCCGGTCCTATCACAAGTCAAAGACAGATGCCTGAAGAAGCCTATTTGGGGTGTTAGAAAAGCCTGGGAAACTGTTTGTTCTTAAAAATTTGTATAGTATTTTTATTTCCAAAGATGTTGGCACATGCAGCCAAGCCTAGTCTTTTGTTCAGTGGGACTGCTTTGTTCCGCTTTGTAACATCACTCAGATTTCTTTACAGTGTTCCTTTGTATCATTATGGTGCAGTGGCCATGAACTCCTTGTCTCTACCCACTTGGTATGTTGCCAGGAAAGGTTGGTGCTGAAGGAAACTCATAGGACTGAGCTGCACATTACACCCAGTCACATTTCCCTGACGGGTGTGTGTGTATGTGTGTGTTAGTCTACCAGTTTTAATCAAAAGCAGCTTTAGGGAAAGCAGCAGATATAAATGGAAGAACCGCAGAAGAGGGCAGAGCTGCCTAACCCTTCCCCTCCTCGTACAATTTTTTTGACAATTTGTGGGAGCCACACATAGGTAACTATTCCCTCTCCCTCTCCCTCTCCCTCCCTCTCTCCTTCTCTCTCCTTCT